ACCCCCCCCACCCACCTATTCAATGTCTTTGTATTCATATTTCATAACCACAGTCGGGTAATCCTTAACAAACCGGTCACGTTTCTTCACATAAACCGCCAAAGTAATCCTCTACCCTCCGGGGTAGTGCCACTGACTGTACTGTCTTTAGGCCATTCCCAAAGGGGGGACATTTCTTGTTCAAGCATAGTAGAATTGTAAATGGGCTGATTCATGTCACGCTCATAACTGTGCCTGATCTACAACAGGGAACTGCTGCTTTTTCTTTGTTAATCTTTACTATTGTCATTTCCCTCTACTTTTTTTGTATGTTTGTCACTCTCTTGTGACCTGGTATTTCCGGGGTGCCTTAATAGTCGAAGTAGAAAAAAAAAGAAGGGATCCTCAGCCCCCCCTCAGGGAGGTCCAAAAAATATCAAAGAAGTGATAGATGATTCTGTCCCCTCCTCCCTTTGCACAGATTAATGTAAACGCACGTTCCATATAAACACATGCTGAGGAGCCCTTCCGAACACCGTGCATTTAGGTGGAAACGACTGTAGTAAGTTAGTAATAATCAAACAAGGACATTCACCTCCACCAACACAAACTAACCTTATGGAGAGACTGGTCAGCCGCCACCGCAGTTGTAACCCGGCGGGTGGGGTTATCTCCCGCAGACGGCATGTAACCCAAACCATGAGTATAGGCGTTGTCGATCAGTACCGTCCCACGTGGAGACAGCAAGCCCTCTTCAAATATGATCTGGTGGCAGGCAGAAGGAAAATGCTGACAACTGTATCTTCGGGTACCCAGCATAAATTCTGCCAAGTTATACATCACAGGAAAGCACACAATTACTAGAAATTTTATATATTGATCTTACATATAATATAATATTTAAAAATGGATGACTTTTTGGGAGAGGCATACAACTAGTCAACTCCTACTCTAAAGCTCCCAATACAGCTTTTGGCTGAGATCTTTTTTTTTTAATAAAGAAAAGCATATTAACTTGACAACATGATAAAGACAAAGGAAAAAGCAAGACAAAACAGACAGAAACAACAGTGGGAAAGAAAGGACTTCCCAGTCATGCCTTCTGATCAACCATCCAACTCACCTTCAAGTATTCCAGGTAATAAGATTTGTCTGCGTCCAAAAAGATGAGGTCAAAAGTTTTTCCCGCCTTCACTGTGTCTTTCATGTAGTCGGAGGGTGAGCCTGGAGGAAGAGAGGGACAAAGAGAGAACATCGTGACCAGTGAAGTGGGAGACCAAGAGGAACTTGACCAATGGAGAGAATTTAAACCTTTGTTTTTGTTTTAGTAGAGGTTTTACGGCGCTCGCAACTTCATAAGGTCATATGAGCACCAGAAGATTAGAGGTGTTACAAGCGAGTAACAAACATAAAAAAGAAGGAGGGTAGATAAGGATGATAGGTGTTTGATAGGAAAGAAAGAGCAAACCACACGAGAGCACCCGCCAACCACCCACAGAGAATTTTTAAAAAACGTATTGACCAGTTGAGAGAGACAAAGATCATCTTAACCAGTGGAAAGAGTAAGAACAACTTGACCAGCGGAGAGGGAGAAAAAGAACATCTTGACAAGAGGAGAGGGAGAAAAAGAACGTCTTGACCAGTGGAGAGAGAAAAAGAACGTCTTGACCAGTGGAGAGAGAAAAAGAACGTCTTGACCAGTGGAGAGAGAAAAAGAACGTCTTGACCAGTGGAGAGAGAAAAAGAACGTCTTGACCAGTGGAGAGAGAAAAAGAACGTCTTGACCAGTGGAGAGAGAAAAAGAACGTCTTGACCAGTGGAGAGAGAAAAAGAACGTCTTGACCAGTGGAGAGAGAAAAAGAACGTCTTGACCAGTGGAGAGAGAAAAAGAACATCTTGACAAGAGGAGAGGGAGAAAAAGAACATCTTGACAAGAGGAGAGAGAGAAAGAACATCTTGACCAGTGGAGAGGGAGACAAAAGACATCACACTGTGCAGCGAAAAGCAAGTTTGACAAACAAAAACCACAGAGGGAAAGAAAAGTGTGACTTGTCCGAGGCACTCTCTAAACCCCCCCCCCGCTAGAGCCTTTGTAAGAAGACATCTTTAACTTTATACAAGAGAAGCAAAAATACATATCATAATAGGTAATGTGTGGGTAGCATAGAGACCCCATAGCCATCTGTACGAGTATCTTGCATTTTTACAACTCTTAATCACAATTATATAGTATCCATCTTGGCACAGTGCAGTCTGCTTAAATCGAAAACAGTAACAAAGTGAAAGAAAGTAAAATCCCCAAATTTTTCTCTTCCTCATCTTTGTAAGAAAACTATCGCTCAGCCCAAGTGCTCCCATTTCATAACTGAAAAGAATTTTCAGGGTTGTGTCTAATTCTTCACCAGCAACCCTCACCCAAATTATCATCCAGTCTTTCACGTTTCAGAATAACAATTTCAAACTTGCGAAACATGAGAGAGAGACACAAGAACGCACATGTGTGTTGATTGTGGGCCACAGAGAGATATCGCCAGTGAACTGTTTGCCAGCATTCATTACACGCATAAATAGGCCTTTGTAAGTAGTCCTACGTTGCCGAAGATGACGATGAATCCTGCAGCTCATCTGTGGACAGGCATGTGGCTGTGCAATCCGATCCTGGATGTACAATGTCCGTTGCAGTGGGGACACTGGAATGTGATGGTTGTGGGGGATGGCTTATGTCTCCTCTCTCTTCGGATAGTCAGCTTCTCCCTGTAGTTTGTATCACTGTTTCTGCTGGCAAGACGGATGGCCCTGCACCAGGCGTACCTTTCGGTGGCAGTTCTTTTGAGTTCTTTAAGGGTGACCTGTGCAAGCTGGAGGTTTTCCTTTATCGTGTCTTTGAACCGCTTTTTATGCCTCCCAACATTTCTTTTGCCACTTGCGAGTTCGCCGTACAGCAGCTGTTTGGGCATTCGGTGGTCTTCCATGCGGATGACATGGCCGATCCATCTCAGTTGGGCTTTGACGAGCATGCTTTCTATGCTTTGTGAGCTTGATCGGTTGGGACCCTCAATGTTGGTGATGCGGTCTTGCCACCGGATGCCGAGTATGCTGCGGAGAGCCCTTTGGTGGAACTGTTCTAATTTGCTGATGTGCTTCCTGTAGAGTGTCCAGGTCTCCGAACCGTAGAGGAGGGAGGAGAGCACAACAGCTTTGTACACTTTGATTTTTGTTGACAGCCGGACATTATGCTGTTTTAGTAACTTGCTTTTCAGTCTACCGAGAGCTTGGCTGGCCTTGCTGATTCTTGAATCAATTTCCTGATCGATGGAGCCGTCTGCAGAGATGGTACTTCCAAGATATTTAAAGTACTTGGTGTTCTTCAGGCTGTTGCCATTGATAGTGATGTTTGGAGACAGTGGGTTAGTCAGTGGGGCAGGCTGGTGAAGAACACAGTGTATAGGCCTAGTGAATCAAGGATGGTGAGTGTACATCTGTAATGCGACCTTCCCTTGATTAAGGCTCGACTCTACAAAACCAGTTCACATGGGTCCTTCACATGAGCAAAAGACGGCACGTGGTGTGTTTCTTGAGTTACCAGCATTTGGCTTGCTTCCTATCTTCTCTTCAGACTATTCTTTCCTATGTTCTATGTGACTATTCAGCAGATTAAGCAAGGTAACAATATTGAAGAGAATGTACATTATAATGCGGCCTGCAGCTCAAAATGCAGTAACTGAAAAAGGTAGACCAGAAAAAAACTTTCAAAACTAAAATTTGCTGCAAGCATGGCATTCCCAACTCTACACTGTTGTCAGTCATTGCTATATTCCATTCTCTAAACTGAAAACTTAGCTAAACCAAATAAAACCCAGAAGTCCCACAGATTTGGGTTTGGATTCCACTGCACTTCATTTTAATCCAAACAAATCGAAACAAAATAAACACACAACTTGTAACCCCAGTTTCCTTGAACTCAAAAGAGAGTTCAGACAATGGAAACTCACCGACAAAGATTTGTATTTTCTTGGAATGAGGCGACTCCCGAAGCAGAGATCCGGTAAAGGTCTCCAGATACTTTTCAAAATCAACAGTCACAAGTTCTCCATCAGCTGCAGACAGAAATACAGAAAAACTTGTTGACACCACAGACTTCTATTTGAACTCATTCATGACCACACATACTGCTCACAGTGGAACCCAGTGACTGGAGTCGCCATGATAAATCAACACCACCAATTTCAGCTACAGCTTTTATGTTGAAACTTCTTTATAGTATAATATTACTCAGCCCTAAGGATCTCAGTCATCAGCTGGTTATCGACAATACAAGAAACTAGTCGTGTCTGTTATATTGTAATAGACCTCATACTCTGTGTCTGTCACATCACCAAACCTTACAACTTCTTCAAAAGCACCTGATCAAGCTGAGCATTCTAGTATTTATATATGCATGCAAAGCTATTGGCTTTTTTTAGTGTGGCTTCCCATTACATCTATCAATGAATCGCATCACTTTGGTCTATTGTTCCAAAACATGCATCCAATCACAAATGTGTTTATACTTTATGTTTAAAAGATATGGAGGACACAATGCTCTGAACAAACATTCAAGCAGCAAGATAATACCCCTAGAACAAAGCTGCTTGTTTAACAAGTAAAGAGAAACACATTGACATGATACAACATTTAGTGTAGACAAAAGGCAGATAGACTTCACTTACAAATAGAAACAATAAAGGGAAAGAAAACAAGGAGGACCTTTCAGTGGCAACCTCAAAACCACAAGTAGTAAAACAGTCATTAACCAAACTGCTATGAAGCCTAAAACTTATTATAATGCAAAATTGGGTTGACAGAAAAGGGAAATTTCAAATATAGCAGCACACCACACTAACAAGTCATAGTGTTCATATCCGCTGCAACAGAGCTATTTACGTTATCATGTAATATAAAAAGGAAAAGTTCATCAATCAGATTACAGAAAATCATTACAAGCAGCTAGTTGTGGTGGCTTGACTTATTTCTCTTAGTAGTCTTGTAACTTACAAACAAAAAAGTCTTAGAAAATAAGTTCAGGTCATATAGGAACTGAAAAAAAAGATTTCCCCCATCATTTCAAAAACTTTTAAAAAGCAGCATGGGCCACTATGGAATGAGCAAGACATCACAAATACCAGTCACAAAAATTCTGAGCTGGAAACAACATACCAGGTAGGGCCTCAGCCATGGACAGTGCACTATACCCAGTGAACATGCCGATGTCCAGAACACGCTTTGCCTTCTGAATGCTCACTATAGACTTTAAAAACTGACCTGTGAACAATGCACAAAAGTACAGAGATATAATATGTACAAAATATGCAAAAATACAAACTGTACACAAAAACAATGTAAATAAAAATAACCTCTCTTTGATTACATAATTTATTAAAAATTTTATATTGATTGAGCTTAGCACTGAGCAATGATAGAACAAAAAGAAATTCAACTGAAACTGAAATGAATGCAACTGGCATTAGCTAAAAATGTTACAGAAATCTTTGCATTCTACACATCAATAAACGTGGTCTAGAGGCAGGGTGTTTGCCTCTCATTCAAAAGGTCACGGATTCGAAATCTGACAGCAATGGAAACTTTTCTTCTCTAGGACTGTCTCCTTCACCTCCTTGCATGTTCTCTAGAAATAGTCCTGTTCTGTCATTATGCTTTCATTTCTACTCCCTCATCCACCCTTTCCACCCCTAAGCTCTTCTCTCCTTTACTACTGACTCTTTCTAATGCAACTCCCGGCTCCTTCTTACTGAGCTCTTTCAGCCACACCCCTGATCTTAGGGTATGTACGATCTAACACCTAGCCTTCTTGTAAAAGGGTGAACAATCTAGGACTAGGAGGTCACTGTGTACAAGTTGTGCACGTTACAGATCCCTCGGTAATCCTAAAATGGATAAGAGTTGGCTTCATGGATAAGAGTTGGCTTCAGCCACCCCCGGGCAACATTCAAAATCCTCACCTTAACTGAAAATACTCAAGCCAGTGTATACAAAAATATGTAGAGGCTGCCTGAAAGCAAGGGGCCCTTCAAAGAAGGAAAAATGGTATCATACGTAAAAATCAGTTGCGCTGCAGATTGAAGAACAGTCGACTTCCCTTGAGATCTAGAACGGAAATGCAAAGATGATGAAGAAGAACAAAAACAAAGACACAGCCCCATCAACTGAAAATCAAATACAGAAGATTAAAAGAAATTGACATCTTCCTCTAAAATAAAAACAGGAGACTATAAGTGGTATGAAGACCAGCTTTTTTAACCAAAAAATTCCAACCTTCCAAATTCCCGGTCATCATCTTGGGTTTCAGATTCCACTTGGTTTTTCCATCTGAGTGCAAACTTTGCCAGTCATGCTTGTAGGTCTCCGTGAGGATCTTATGGAAAACTTCCGTCTCCCCACTGGTGACCGAATCAGTGTACTTCTCCCGTAGATCCACCAGCTCCAACGCCGTCTCAATTGATTTAATCACATCTGGGGAAGCTCCCGTGTCCTGCGCCAGTTTGAGAGCACGGTGCATTTCCATTACTGCTGGGTCATAATGACTCAGGATGTGTTCCGACTTGGACATGCTGATAGTTTAGTTTTACTGAAATACACACGTCACAAATGTTACAGAAATAAATACAATATAAAATAAATATCACACAAATACAACACAAAAATTTCAGGCAATAATGCAAAGTATAAAAATGAGTCATGACAAGGTGAGAATCAGCTCTCGTCAATTTTTGGGCATGTGGATCGAGTTGGTAATCATCTTAAAGCTTGTTCAGTTGTCTTGCTATCAGTGAAAAAAATGCCCATCTAACTTGAAAAGAAGTCAAGATATTTGAGATTGAAGAAGGTGAGGTCGCCTGGTTTCAAAAGTAGAATTCACGAGAAAATGGTCGCCAAAGTAAAGTATAGTTATTTCCATAGCTTGACAGTTCTTGGAAACTGAACAATTAAATTTTTTGGAGCCGTTAATCAATGTTTTTCCCTAAAGCCCACCCAGAAATGTATTCTTAATTGGACAACAAGGTGATTTAATATAAGCAAAAAAACTAAAATTATATAAAAAGTGCCAAACTCCCAAACTGGCAGAAAAATGTCAGTTTCTTCAATTTCAGTATTTTGTCGAGCGCATGATTTCACCATACTGCCTCACAAATGTTATAACTACCATGACCCTTCTCCCCACACATAGGTCACTACGCAGGCAGTTCACTTGTCTTGAACTTGACTGAGAGGAAGACCAAAGAAGAGGAAAGAAGAATATATAAAAAGAGAATGACAGCAGAGCTGAAACACCAACATTGAAAGTAACCTCTTACATAAGTATCTGTGATGTAAGCGCATCTCAAGAATAGAAGGACATGTATATATATAGTTATTGCGACTGTTATGTCTTGTAGGTTGTACCTTGAAACAGCAAACTTGAACATCAATCAGGAACACAGTAGTCTCGTCTTGGGTCGAACATAAACGAAGTAGTTTATTCATGATCAATGTAAAAGGAACAATATCTCCACAACATGTTAGATTATTTACATGATAGTAGAAAATGGACAACTGGTAGCTATTTCTATGAGTGCGAGACTGGAGGGAAAAGTAAAAAAAATACCAAAAAATCAAGTTGATTTAAATATTAAAAATTAACTGATTTAAATCAACCCAACTCTGCATGTAGGGCTGGATCTAGATCTAGATTCTAGATTCTAGATCTAATATTAGCCTAGTTGTAGGGTAACTTAATTGTACTGCAAAGAGCCTGTATACATGTGTGACCAAGCCAGTAGCCTGCTAGACTAGCAGGCCTACTGCTAGCCTGTATCTAGATCTCTAGATTAGATCTACTAGATCTAGACATGACAGATTACCGGCATCGTTGGCAGAAAAGAAAACCACACACACTCTATCAACAAACCAGTTTTCTTTCGGTTAATTTACTTTTAATAATTAAGTAGACCTACCACAAGAGACCCAAGAGATCACTGAGCAAAGTTTTACTGGAATCGAGTCTCCGTAGCCTATTTTGTTCCATTTGTTGTTGTTTTTTCAACCTGATGGCCAGGGCTTTTCCAGTGGAACCGCCCACAAAATCAATAGTGCCGTTTCTGTCAGAGGGAAATTCATGTGAACCCACCATCTAAGTCTAAGGCCAGATCTAATTATTACTATTTTACTATTATTGTGCTCACGCCATAAACTAATGAGTGGGAGAATCTTGTCTTCTTAAAGAACAGTTCGAATAGATACAAACCCACCTGCAATCTGAAGAAGAGAATGTGGGGAAAATCCAGATGATTTCACAATGCCGACAATGCCACTACCCCTATAGGCTAACACTGGCTGGAGTTACTAGACTTGCGGCTAGCTGAGGCTAATGTTGAATTTTGATCGCCACGGATAGCAGAGTGACCACTGGAAAGGGAGACAAAGTAGGCCAACTACTAGAATCTATATCTAAAGTCTAAGTATTGGACCAGGTTCCTTACAATTCTAATAATATAATAATGTCCTTGAGCCAGACGTATTAATTTTAGGCCCACAGGCCAAAGAGTAATACTAATACGTTATGGGTCTAAATAGGTCCACTTTTACAACTAGTAACACCTAATCTTAGTTATACAGGCCAAGACATGAGAAGTCAGAAAATAGGCCATTTTTGTGATAGGCCAGGCCTAACAGAAGAAGGGTCAGGTGCATAAGTATGTTGTCACCACAGTCAGTCGGCCTGCATGTCGTGCGCTGGCTTCAGTGGGGTATTTACCGTAGGCCTACCGCTACCTTTGCAGTTTCGTAACACCTATTGATACTTTTGATTTCCATTAACTATAACAAAAGCAATTGTGCGCTGTAAAACAGGCTATCTGACAAAGACTCAGCGAAACCAGAACATTGTATAAACCTTCTTTTTTTTTGTTGCCCACAAGAACAAGCAAGCTTGGTCTGTTTGGACAGGGCTC